GTATACCAAGATACCTACATACTCTATGGGGGAAACGTCCATTGGCTTAAGAATAGTTGTTTACTTTCTGTTTTGTTTTTTTTTTACTACTGGACATACTTTCTCATTTTTTCCAGGGGTCTTAACCAAATGGAAGGAACTGGATAAACCATTTTGCATGGCAAGGTACCTTTTGTATAATATGTATATCTTATGTATATATCTGTAAAATACATTAGTTTCCTAGCCAAGACGAACAACAAAAGCAATTCCAAAATAAAACTGCAAAAAACCCATTGAATCTCGACCCAATGGAAACCATTTGGCCTTGGATTTCGGGTCTGCAGGACCTGCTGCGCGGCCCATGCTCCGCCTGGCGCCGAAACTGGCGCGGCTCTTTGCCCTTCTTCCGCTGGGCCGCTGGGAGGGACATGGCGCTGCAGGCGGGCCATGGCTCAACAGCCCGGTTCGGTTTCTAGCTGTTTCATGGTTGTTGGGAAACATGTTACATTTTTGCTGATTGTGGTTTAGTGGTTGAAATCCCCACTTAACTGCTAAAATTATTTGTTTTGCTCCCCTTCCAACGTCAACCAAGGTTTTTGGGTCAGTTCAGAGGTTGGGTTTCCGTACTCACTTTTAGCATTCCGGTTAAACGGGTCTTAGTGGCCGCTGCTAAAAGTGGTAGGAGTTCTGTATTTAAACCACTAAACCTACTCACTTTTAGCAGTGGCTCAGCAGCTTAAACGGAGAGCTCAGTTTGGATTGGATACACACGTCGCCAGCTCAGTTTAAACGTCAGCCAGGGCTCACCTCACGGCACTACAACAAGGTCCTCCAGCTAGGTGCCCTTTCTCACCCCTTTTTTAGTTGGGAGGGTTCCCCTACTAAAATAGACTACAGAAAAAAGTTGGTACCATTCTAACCTCTCTACTGGAGGACCTAGACAAGGTTTCTCTCAACTTCCCAACTTGGTGGATTTCCCCATTTGGTATCCAGACCAAAGCAGGGTGCTTGCAGACTCGGTGGCTCCCAGCCATCCGATCTATGTTGTGTAGTGGTGCCGTCAGGTTCCTTAGGATTGCTTGGATCTGTTTGGCGGGTTTGGTGGTTGGGTTGCCACATTTAACCAACAAGCTCGTCACTTTTAGCAGGTCAGAAAAACGGACAGCTCATTGGATGTTCACTTTGCCAAGTTAGTGGTTAGCCACCTGGGTTAAACCCCCCGATGGCAGGGTGAACTCCACTCAGGCGTCGTACAAGCGGGTTATAGATCAGATTGCCGACAACTTGCTAAGTTAGCCGAACACGCAAGTAGGGCTCCAGACCATGGTGTTTTTCTCAAAGCTCCCAATATAGTGGTTTTTATTTGGTTTCCCTGTATATCAACCACCCGGAAGGGGTACCCTGCAAAACGTCAAGATCGTATATGGCATATGGTACCCCTTTCTTGGGGTAGCCCTTGTTCATTTGCTGTAAAGGGACACTAAATGAAAAGCACCATTTGTTCCGGGGGCTTCAAAAATCCGACCCATATATGGAACCCCCCCTCACTCTTTGGGCAGACCACTGAGTGGCATGACTTTGAGCCCAGGAAGTGAGGCAAGTAGCCATTTAGCAATGACTAGCAGGCCTGTTTGGGCAGCAAGAGGTGACACCTGAAGATGCTGTTGTTGCAATATGTGCTTGTCAGTGGTGAGATCTGTTGCACGATTATGAGGTCAATTTCAGGGGCCCGACAAAGGCACCCTGATGAGAGACCCCTCAAATTTGCATGAGCCAGCCAGCCACCGTCGGGTGGGAGTTGACCTGAGCTGATGCCCAGTCCCGGCTACACCTTCCCTGAGAATCATTAAAGGGGCCAGTCAGGCTTTTGGCACATTGGCTTGCGTGATCACATGTCGGATGCGCAGGGCGGGCATGCAAGAGGATATGGCTTGTGGGTGTTTGATTGATCCAGTGCTTTGCAAGAGATGGTTTCCCAACCGGAGGCGTTTCTTATATCGCCCTCAACCGCAAGCTGGACCATGGGTGGTGACATGGCCATGGGCCCATGGGTCCAAACCCCGGTTATCCCCCAGTGAACGGGACCCAATCCTCACTAAAATAGGTTCTAAAATGGGTGGTGCACCTATCCCAAAATGGCACCATTGGTTTTGAACCGTGGCCACATGTTTCATTGACTCCGCTAGGTGCTCGACGTCATGCGGGGGCATGACGTGCCTGTGAACGCCTTCCACCTCAGCCTGGCCTTGAAGTCGCTGGAAAAAAACCGGCGCTGGCAGTTGGCCATGCAGCTCCTGCAGACTGCCACGCAGCGCTCGGAGCAGCGCCTTGGCTGCCCTCTCTCCCACTAACATGCCACAGGGCTCCTTCAAAGATACATTTTGCAACCATTTGAAACATGCTTCTTTTTCCACCAAAATACAGGGAACCCACCATTTGCAAGGCAATGCTCAGGTGTATGCAAGGATCAATGGCACCTGACAAGGGGTCCCTCCAAGAGGAAACTGATCTTCCCGGTGTGCTGCCACAGGTGCCATGTTGGTGGGTACATTTTGACTTCGGGGAGCCCAGATTCAAGCCCTCGGAGGCGAGAAACGAAAAAGTGAAACGTTCTATGGTTGAGTGGCTGTCTTCCCTTTAGTGAAGCGTCGTGTCTGCTTAAATGGGAAAAAATCCGGCGTTTTTGGCCGGCTTGGGGTCACACAATGGGAAAACACCCGAGGGACCCCCAACCGGAAAGCTTCAAGTGGGTTGGCTTTCGAGTGGCGAAAACGGTGGCTTCACTCCAATGTTACAAGGTCAAACATGAAGCACACACAGCAAAACAAACAACAAAACCACAGGCAGGTACACAGAGCTGATCAGGCTCTGCTTCCCATGCAATCAGGTAGCTTCGTTGGACGTGGTCCCTGATTGCACGCCACCGTCCCCCTGCTGAGATTAAGAGGTTGGTGACAGGGTAATTCTGTCACTCCGCACACACACACACTTCTACCGCCTGTTTTCAAAGATCCCCTTGTAAAGCATGCGGTCCTTGGATGTATCCTCTCAGGAACCTATTCTAGGTTCCCCAGTAGTGCCCTTTAAAACCCCTTTTTTGGTTGGGAGGGTTCCCCAAACAGAGTACAGAAAAAAGGGTACCCTTGTTCTAAACTTCCCACTGGAGGACGTAGTCAAAGATTTGGGGTGGGTTGCCATTTTCTCAGTTCCTGAGTTCATGGATTTTAGTCGCTTCTTCGGTTTGGTTGCTATTTGAGTGGCAAACGGGAAGCTTGGACTTTGTTGGGCCAATCCACTCAAGTGAGGCCCTTGTTGCAGATGCTTGGCGAGTTCCCAGATTCTCTTACTTTTCGCACCTGCGAAACCAAAGGGACCCTGCAGGCTTCCTTGAACCCACTTCCTGAGTTCCTGGACTTGCAAACTTTCTGGGAAGACCATTTTTGGTGCTCAACGAAAACGTTTGACTTTTTTGGGGCCCGTCCACTCGATCGGTTGGCTTGTGCATGACCAGCGCCAGGGCCTTCCCGCCCCGGAAAGTGAAGCTTAGTAAGGGACACTCCCCTTGCCATAAATAGCTGCCGATATCCGCCTTGGTTCTTTACATGGTTCAACGGTCGACCGAATTTTAATACCCGGTTTTGATTTTGACTCATTTAGCTATTTGTGGAAACCAGATTACAACGTTTGCACGGATAGTGCAGACAAAGTCAGGCGTCCCGTTGGTGTTCATGGGTCAACTTAGTTCTTGGTTCTTGTTTCGGGTTTTGATTGTGACTCATCTCAGGATGGATTCGGTGGTGTTCAATGCCGCGATGAGCGTGTGCAAGTCCGGCGCACAGTGGCAGACAGCCCTCGCCCTGCTGGAGGCAGAGGAAGCGAAGCGAATGGCTGGCTTTGCGCTGGCCGTTTCCTGGAATGAACGCGGGCCCTTCTATTCATGTTACGCATGTATGCAACAAATCTCAAGATGTCTTTATCCCTCAATGATTTTGACTGAATACCCGCTTTTATCAAGCATTCAAAGGAACAATTAAACTAAAAAAGCCTCGCGGCCCTGTCAAGATCCTCACGCATCCGTTGTCCAAGCCAGCAGCTAGCGTGATGTATGCCCCCCCATCCCGTCAGTTTCCAGTATTGATTGGTTGGAGGGTATGTTGTTTATTTGTCCCGCGTTGGTTTTAAAGGGAGTCGCCTTCACTAGTGGACATATTTTCTCATTTCCGTCAGGGGGCTCCTCAGCAAATGGAAGATCATGGGTGTGGACATAGGGCTTCAAGAGGAACATGGCCTTCCAACAGCTTCCATGATTGTTGGGTAGTCGTTACATGTTGAGGAGTCCAAATTTCAATTGGGGTGGGGCTTGCCTTTGTGCCAGCAAAGTTCTCACTTCCTGAGTTCTGTTCGGACTTTAGTCACTTCTTGGGTTTGGACCATTTCAGTGGCAAAAAAATACAAATTGGACTTTTGGTTTAGCCACCCACTGAGGAAGAGAGAAAGAGATGCCAAGCACGAGACTTTCCAAACTTGAGACCCTGAGAGGTCCATGGCAGGAATCCTGTACGATTCTTTGCGCCGAGGCGTTGGCTCTTCACTTTCCATCTCTTTGGACCTCTCTGGAAAATCTGTCAATCTCACTGGTAAGTCGGTAAGTCTTTCAATCTCTTTAACAGCACTTTGCCAAGAAAAGATTCGACATTTCACTTTCACAGTGTTGAACAGCTGGACCTCCCAGTTCTTTGTGGTGCTCCACCCCCTGAAAGCGGGCCTTGCAGAATTTCGCCATGTCCAGACTGGGACCCGCACATAAACTTGCTCCGAGCTGTGCGGTCAAATGACATGGCTTCTCCACGTTTGGGACCATCGGCAGTTTTTTGCCCTGAAGTTAATGCATATATATATATTTTACTCCTGCCCAGTGCTTCCACTTGCACGTGACCATGCTCCTTTACCTCTAGCTTCGTGGCTGGCTGTATATGGTGACTTGCGGCTTGTCTGGGAGCCGGAAAAACGCGTGGGACATGGACCAAGTTCCTTTCATGCTCCACCAAACCTCTGCCCCCCCCCCTGACGGGGCCCATCCCTGCAGGACAAAAGGAAGCAGGTTACGGGTCCAAGGTGCACCTGAGGAGCCTTAG